GGTGCTGTGATCCCTGGGGTAGGTGGTTGTTGACCGGGTACTCTGATCCCTGGTGTGGGGTTGTTGTTGATGGGGGGCTGTGATCCCTGGTGTGGGGTTGTTGTTGATGGGGGGCTGTGATCCCTGGGTGGGGTGGTTGTTGATGGGGGGGCTGTGATCCCTGGGGGAGGTGGTTGTTGATTTGATGGACTCCTGAAGCTTTTATACTGATGGGAAGCTTTCATAAGTCAATTACAACAGGTTTAAAGCCCTTTGTTATGTCCAGGGAACAGCTGCTCATTTTTTAGGTGCTTGGAAATTTATTTTTCTTCTGTCCCAGAGTCATAGATTTCCTGGGTGGATTAAGCCTGTCAAAGAGCCTACATTAGTTCTCACCCCCTCCCCAGCTCACCCCAGAAGTGAGCACAGGAGCACAGCCCTGCGCTCAAACCGTGGCTCTGTTGTTCAGCAAGGCACTGAATCTCTGATCCCCTGTCTCCTGAAAGCTCACACTTCCCTGAAAGGCGGGTGTTTGCAGAGTGAATGAGTGCCCCCATGTACTCCAGTGCCCTCCCCCAGACGGAGCAGTGTGCTTAGTTCACGCCCCGGACCCAGGAAGAGCACCTGTGAGGAGGGCTGTCAGAGTCACCTGGGACCTATGACACACTGTGCATGCTCAGGCCCAGCTCCTCGAGGGTCCCATGGGGGTGAAGCCAGGCACAGCATTTTCTAGGTTCCCTCCCGTGTGCTGTTCGATGTGCACTGAGACCTTCCAGGCCCAGCCAGTGCCTTACTTACCTGCTTTTCATGTAGTTAAGTCGTGCAGAAAATTTATAAACTGTTTTGACTGGTCTTAAGTGATGGGCTGTTCTTGTTAAAGTCTCTTTTTGAAACTGTAATTAAGACACAAACCCGGTATTCAAATAAAACATTCTCTGCAGCCCATTCCTATTACTGTTCTGGTCCCTCACATTATTATTGCAAAAAGAGAAACGACCTTCATGACCTTCAGAAATCTAACGTGACAATGAGTTCAGTGTGTAAGGAGATACGGCGTGGACTTGAGATTTTCTGAAAGTAGATAACACTGTTGTCTACGATTTGGAATGTGTAAACACTCTTCTTGGATATTGTGTACATTATGCATAAGGTTTATGAAACATCTCCTCCTTCCCCAAAGGTTTTTTTATCTCTAAATTTGGAAGTTAATTCATGGAAGAGGAGAACATGTATGATTTATAAGTGTCTTTAGCATCTAGCAGGAAGTGTCATGTGGTTTAAAAATGGGATTCATGCTTTTGTGGAGTCAGTGCGCGAGGTGCCCTCTGTCTTCCTGAAGCCATCCCTATAAATGATGAGAACTCCCCTCTGTCAGAAAAGAAGGGGATCTGAGTCAGTAGGCTTTCCATTATTCATCTCTTCCTAGTTTTGAGTAAACTTCTAGTCATTTAAAGGACTGAATGTTGAATTTTTCTGCTGCAAAAATGCCTGCCTTCTACCCGAGAAGTTACGAAATAGCTCATAACTGTATTCATTACAGTCGTTCAGGTATACCTTTGCCATTTATTACTTCCAGGATTGACTTAACTAGGTATGCAATGTACTGTATTTTTTTGTTTAATAAATTTTTAATTTTGGAGTAATTTTTTATTACAGTTCACTCTTGGTATTGAATGTTTTATGGGTCTTGACAAACGTGTCATGAGATGTGTCCACTGCTATAGTATTGTGCAGAATTGTCTCACTGCCCTAAAAATCCCTGTGCTGCACCTAATCACCCCTCTCTCCCCTGTGCCCTTGACCACTACTGATCTTTGTAATGTCTCTGTAGTTTTCCCACTTCCAGAATGTTATATTCTTGGAATTATTAAAGAAAAACTGACACTCGTTAAAGAACGGTCAAGCAGACTTTACTCAGGGGAGGACTCCGAGGGATTTTTGCCATAGGGGAGAGAGATTGGGCTCAGCCCCACATACAAGAAGGAAGAGTAGGGATTTATAGCCCAGGAGCTGGGTGGGGAGTAGATGGATGGAAAACTACTAAGAGGAAACATCAGAGGTAAGGGGGGATTCTGGCTGCACTGACCTAACAGGGTCCTTCCTGAAAACAGGCCAGGATGGTCAGACATCACCTGGGTGAGGGTGGAGGATTCTGGCTGAACCAACTCAGCAGGATTCTTGCTAAAATTGGGCAATGGACATGGAAGTACAGACACAGAAATACAGTAGTCAAGGCCTAGTCTGGGAAGGGATTCAGAGGGAGCCTGACGAACGTTTGGTCGAGGAGAGAGTCTTTGTGAGAATCATACAGTCTCACCCTTTTCAGACGGGCTTCTCCCACTTAGTCGTGTGCATTTGAAGTTCCTTCATGTCTTTTCATGGCTTCACAGCTCATTTGTTGTTTTTTAAAAAATTTTTTTTATTTTAGGCTGCATTGGGTCTTTGTTGCTGCTCACGGGCTTTCTCTAGTTGCGGCGAGCGGGGGCTACTCTCTTGCAGTGCGCAGGCCTCTCATTGCAGTGGCTTCTCTTGTTGCGGAGCACGGGCTCTAGGTGCGCAGGCTTCAGTAGCTGTGGCACGCAGGCTCAGTAGTTGTGGCTTGTGGGCTCTAGAGCACAGGCTCAGTAGCTGTGGCGCATGGGCTTAGTTGCTCCGCAGCATATGGGACCTTCCCAGACCAGGACTCAAACCCGTGTCCCCTGCATTGGCAGGTGGATTCTTATCCACTGCACCACCAGGGAAGCCCAGCTCATTTGTTTTTATCACTGAGTAATATTCCATTATCTGGACGGACCACAGTTTATTTGTCTATCACCAACTGAAGGACATCTTGATGGCTTCCAAATTGTGGCAATTATGAATGAAGCTGCTATAAACATCTGTGTTTCAAGTTCCAGGAATAATTTTATATTTAGGAAAAAGCTGCAAAGATAGTGCAAAGCATTCCTGACACCCCGCACTCAGTTTCCCTTCGTGCTAACGTCTTACCTGACCAGGGACATTTGTCAAAAGTGAGAGATTAACGTTGGTTAGTGGTAGACTATTGACTAGCTTCACTGGGGTTTCACTAATTTTCATGTTTTAGGGTCCAATCCAGGATACCACATTGCGGTTTGGGTGTGTCACGGTCATTAAATATGGTCATAAAAGTCAGCTCATCCTGAGAAAATGGATGTAGAGATATCAGCTATAAGGATCTGGTGTTACTTAATCTAGTGAACACGTTTAATTGTGATACAGTTATTTCGAATTTTTTGGAAAGTTTTCTGTTGTTTTTGTTTGTTTTTAGCAGAGCAGCAGAACTCCCCATGTGCAAAATTAAGATTCGCTTTATAAGGTCACCGTTTCTAAACAGCATATACTAAAGCTTGTTGAAAGGAGGTCATCTTAAGGTCGAGTATTTGAGACCCTGGAGACAGCTGCTTGCCGAGCCGTAACAAAAGCTTGTCCGGGTGTAGTTTTCCGAGTGGATGCAGGAGCCATGGCGCTTGGCCGGGTGTCTAATGAGCCTCTCCCAATGTTCTGCTGGCAGAAGGACTCCATGAAAGATGACAGAGGAGGTCATCGTCATAGCCAAGTGGGACTACGCGGCGCAGCAGGACCAGGAGCTGGACATCAAGAAGAATGAGCGCCTGTGGCTGCTGGACGACTCCAAGACCTGGTGGCGGGTGCGCAACGCGGCCAACAGGACGGGCTACGTGCCGTCCAACTACGTGGAGAGGAAGAACAGCCTGAAGAAGGGCTCCCTCGTGAAGAACCTCAAGGACACGCTCGGTGAGTGGCGGGCGCGCGCGGCAGGACCCGGCCCGGCCTGGAGGGCGGGGGCCTGGTGCTTTCTCAGCGGGATTCAGAGTGGAGGTCATCTCTTTGATTTGCATTTGAGGGCAAACAAAAAAAAAGGTATGTTTTAAGTATTGACATCTTTCTACTTGTCTTTTTAAAAAAATCTCTGGACATTGAGAGATCCAGTGCAGAAATATCCGGCCGGTCATTTCCTAGAGGTTCTCGAGTCTGGGGGTTTACGTGAGCTGGCCTTTCTGTGTGTTTCGGACCTCTCTGCGTGTCTCTGTCTCCTGGCATCAACTTTCTGGAGGGTCCTGAAATGGAATGACCACCTCCGGGCATGTCCCCAGGTCCGCCCAGGTCATCCCATCAAGTCTTTTTCTCTCTCTCGAAATCCTTTGTGTGTGTGGTGTTTGCACATAGAGGAGGAGATGGCAAAAAAGTACTTTGCACCCGGGGAATTTTTCCCCTCTGTTAAATTGGTGGCGTTTCACAGCGCAGTCCTGGACGGTGGCAGCTAAGGTGGGGACTCGAGCGGCGGTGTGATGCGAGGCCGCCAGGGTGACCCGCAGGGGGCCTGCTGGGCGCCCAGCTTTCTTCCCACGCACCTGTTCCCTTCCCTGGTGTCCGGACGTGGGAAAGAGCCCGAGTCCCCTGAAGTTGATGGTGTCCGATCTCGCCTTTGCGTGGGCGTCCTGCAGAGGATGCGACAGGGTGACTTCCTGAAGGTCAGCAGTGCCTCCTTCTGTGAGCACCATGTGGGTGGCCCCCGGGACCGCTGGTTATCACGGAAGAGTTTGCTCTTGAAACAGGTCAATGTTATCACCCACGTTACATTTCCTTGAGACTTTCCTTTTTATTTCTAACAAGAGAATTAGTTTCACTTGAGGGAGGGGAACAGGCAGGAAACCTGAAAAGAAAATTAAACTCTGAATGTGATGAGTGTTGCAAAATATTCATCTTTCATTTTCTGAAATCTTGAAGGGTCCACTGACTCTTCAAAACCAAGTAAAGGGCTTCCCTGGTGGCGCAGTGGTTGGGAGTCTGCCTGCCGATGCAGGGGACGTGGGTTCGTGCCCCGGTCCGGGAAGATCCCACGTGCCGCGGAGCGGCTGGGCCCGTGAGCCGTGGCCGCTGAGCCTGCGCGTCCGGAGCCTGTGCTCCGCAACGGGAGAGGCCACAGCGGTGAGAGGCCCGCGTACCGCAAAAAACAAACAGACGAACAAAACCAAGTAAAGCCTTCATTCATTGGGTAGTAATTTTGTGTTGTGGGTTAGGTTATTTTCACGACTTGGAGAGAGAAATGAGACACTGGCCTGCGTGAGAATCACACCAGCTACCGTAGATTCTGCCTGCTGGAGAAATTCCGTTTTTCATGAGCAATCTGATTCTTTTCCACAAAAGTGACCCTCTTTATCGTTTTCTCCAAGCATGTCACTTGAAAGAAACGTTGTTGTCCTGTGCTTATAACTCTCTATTAACTGTGACTAAGAAATGCGGGAAGCGTGAGTAGGTAAATACTTTAGGAGTGCCCTGCGCTTAATTTTATTTATTTTTTCCAATTTCAGCTTCTCGCCCACTAAAGTACCTTTTTTTGGAGATGCTCAACATTGTTGAGTTGTTTTGTCTTCTTATCCTTTTTCAAAACTACATTCTCAAGATTCTAGTAAAGAATGAAACACCCAGAAATGGAACGGAACGCTGGGCAGTGAAATAAGGCGAGGCAAGCCCTCTGACTTACCTACAGATTCCCTTGAACAGCTCGTCATCCCTCCCTTCAGTTTTTAGAACGAGAAGACAGCTGAGCTCTGAGGCACATCTGGCGCTGGGGTTCGGTTTTTCACGAGTGGCAGTCAGTCCCCGGGGCTCCTCTCAGAGCTCGGGGGGCCTGGCTCAGCCAGCCTGTCCTCGTGTGGGTGCCAGGCTGGCTCCCCCGCCCCGACAGATGGCCCCCCAGCTCTGCGGGCACACGTCTCCTTCCACAGAGCCAGCCAAGTTCCATTTTGGGAGAACACAGATTGTTAGAAAGCTCTTCCTTAAATAGAATCAAAGTTGGCTTCTCTTTAACCCTCCCCCCTCGGCTCTCCTTGGCCCTCGAGAGCCGTGCTGGGGAGACCTGCTGCTCTTCTGTGGACTGACCACCCCTTTCCAGGCCTCCTCCCCCGTCAGGCACATTACTGCCTTGGAAACGTTTGTACCTAGCATTATTTAATGTAAAAAAACACCAACAAAGCTATGTTCTGAACGTCCATATCTATCCGCGGCAGTTAATATTTGTAGTCTAGAGACTGTTGGAGGTCAGTATGCCCATTGCCGGGGAGAAATGCCTCCATTCATTGTCTTTTTTGCTTCCATGTGTTTGTCGTGGTCACCCAGAACCTTGCTTTTGTTGGACAAAGAGAGACCTTGTTGTCTCGGCATGAGTTTTCCACTGCCCCCCTTGAACGGTGTCACAGAGAAGGGAGGTACCCCGACAAGAACCACCGTGGCGGTGTGACTTATCATTTCTCCATCGTCAGACCTGACAAGGCGCCAGCGTCGAGAAGGAAGGTGGGAAAACTTTCCGCAGCCTCTCCTGCCACCCACTGGTCTCCGTTACAGAGAAGACTGGAGCTAAAGCATCCGTGGCTTCCTGTGTAAATTACCATGACGGGCGTGCTGTTGGAATTATAGTGTGATCACAGACTGATTACGCACCCAGCAGAAGTTCTCTCTACTGTGTATTAGAAGGAGTGAAAACAACGCCAAAGACACCACCACACATGTTGACCTTCTAATAGCGACTCATGACATCATCCACATTTGTAATTCTAGTGCCATGGAAATCCACCCAGTTTCTAAAGCCGTGGTTAAGATTTCCCCGGCAGGCACCTGGTTTGAAACACAATAGCACCGGACTCCCCGTCAAAGTCCTTGTGTTCTCCTTGTGTGCTGGCATCTCTAACTGCCAGGGACCGTGACTTGGCAGAGCTCTCTCCTGCTTCCCTGTATCCCTGTGCTGTGCTGAGGTCGGTCACCAATTTAATTTAATCGCATGTAATAGTTTGTTACAGTAACCTCCAGAAAGCGGTACCTTTCCCGAAAAGTTCTCTCCATTAGGAAAGGACTAACGCTCTTCCTTTTCCCTTAGTAATTTATAATTAAATAAAACAGTATGAGCTCGTGTTTGTAGACGGGTAGCACGTTGATACACTAGGTCTCCTCTCACGTTCAGCTTATGATCACAATTAGTCAGAGAGCTTTTCCACAGACAACAAGGAGCCGTCCTCAAGAACTGTTCCTGCTGGCAGAGCCCAGGCGATGTTTTGAAAGGCTCGCTGCATTCCTGGGCTCCGGCCTGGCCTTGGTGTTTTACACGACCCGACTCATAAAGCCATGCAGGTTAGGTGCTGGAAAGTGTTGTGCTAAATCTTGCGAGATGGGGAAGCTGCTCCCAGGGAGGGATTTTACTGAAGAACGGCTTTTGTCACCACTTGACGACGGCAGCTGGAACCCGCCGAAGCCCCAAAGGTTAACTGTCTTCGCGATGGTTGCCTTAGGCCCAGGTGCTGACTTGGGCTACCCAGGAAGCTACGGATCCATTTATAACCTGTTAGCATCCGCCCGTGGAGGGTTTCTTCCAAGGCACACACATCCTTCGCTGACCACCCTCCTGCGGCATGTGGAACCAGAAGTGAGCTGCCCCCGGGGCTGCCGCTTTAGCCTTGGCCCCAGTGTGACCCTGCCTGAGGCCAGTTAGTCACCTGCCAGTGGTGAGCTCCGGACCGGTCCCCACCTCTGCGACTCCAAGGCAGACCTGGGAGCAGAGAGCGGCCACGGTGGGGGGACCAGTGCTCACTAACTGAAAGAGCCCTTGCGCGGTTTGGGTTGATGCTTTTGGTCGGGGAGGGGCGGTTCCTGGGGGTGAGGTTCCCAGGGTTCCTCGAGGCATATCCGTATACGGTTGAGCGTCTTCCCCAAGAGAAGGCGTGTGACAGAGACGGGTCACATGCCTTTAGCTTGAACTTGGGTTTTTTCCACCAGGTTGACTATCAGGGCTTACCGGGTGGGCGTTTGATAGGGCTGCGTCACAGAGAGGAGCAGCTAGGGTGTTAGAGGGAATCCTAGTGATCCTGGGTTCCCTGTTTTAGAGATGAAAACCAGGGCCTTACTAGCAAAACCGGAGTAGGGTCTGAGTATGACAGTGTTCGTGTATCGGTGTTAACGTCCCGGTTTTGTGTCGAGGATGCCCTTGTGTGTGGAGATGCCACCAAGTGTTGAGGTGATGGGACAGGACGCTGGCAGCTTACTCTCAGATAGTTCAGGGAAAATGACGTCCTTTGTGCTGTTCTTACAACTTATCTGTACATTGAACAAACGGGCAGACATAGAGTGGTTTAGGGACTACCCCAGGCCGTGATGCTGGATCATAGCAGGGGAGAGGTTATACCTCGGGCTTCCTGTTCTATCCAGGCATCTGCGGTGCCGCAGGGCCTGACATTCGTCGTCAGTCTTTCAGAGATCAGAGGATCGCCGAGGGCCTGCTGTGATTGGACCTAACTCGCGAGGTTGCCGCCGGGTGTGAATGTGCCAACGGTTCCCCAGGACTTGGTTCAGAACTTTCCGTAATCATCCAGCAGCTTCCCGCCATATCACTGGCAGGCAGGTGAGGGGACCCTGCTCCCTGCCGGACCGGCCCAGGCTGCTCTGTGCCAGTTCAATGTAGGCACTTTTGTTATAACAGAGATAGGGCGAGAGATGGGCTCCAGCCTCCGTGATGGTGAGGCCATGGGGGGATTTTCTTTCCGGCACCGCAGGACTGTGGGTCTTTGCTGTGATCAGAAGCGTTCTCAGTAGGGCTGAAGCAGGGCAGGCGATCTGTCCAGATGAGCCACGGGTGATGGATGCTGTAGTCGCTGGTTGTCGCAGGCTGAGTTGGAGTCGTCCCTCCCTCTCTCCATCCCTTGGAAATGCTTCTAAGCCACCTGGTTCCCCGCTGAGCGACTTTTGGG